AATGGACTTTTTCCCCCCCAAAATAATTGCTAATTGTGGGAATTGTAGACATTGGAGAGCCTGTTAGAAACAGATTCTATAATAATATCCAAACTCCTTATCCTAGCCAACATGGCCCTGTATGATCTGGTACTCGCCCATTCTTCCTTTCATCTCATCACTCTCCTCCTGTCTACCTGCCCTCGCTTCTACAAGTCCCATCCTTCATTAATTACACTCCCGTTCCTTGAATAGGCCACTCTCTTTCCTGCCTCTGAGCCCTTGTTTTTGCTGTTCTCGCTGCCTAAAATTCTCTTTCCCTGGTTCTATCATTACTATCATTATCTGACTCACCCTGAAGCTCTCAGGTTAAATGTTGCCTCTTGTTAAGATAGGAATTCTCCCTAAATATCCATTCTTTTCTTTGTTGGTAAATAACTTCCAATTTTTCACTGAACACGTGGTTGGCCAGAATAAGGTCTACATTTCCCAGTTAGATGTGGCCAAGTGACAAAGTTCTAGCCAATACGGTGTAAACTGAATGGGTGTATACAACTGGCAATAAGTGTCCCTAATGAGGAGTCTGCCCTCAGAAGAGTTGCTTCCTGTTCTCTGCCGGCTAGAATGGGTACCAGAAGGCTGGAGCTCAAGCAGAGGGGACCAGGGGTGGTGGCAAGCTACACAGAGAAGCCTCACGTCCAACACAGTGCCAGAGCCCCAGGGCAGCCAAGGCCCAGAGGGCCTGGAGGCCAACAGCACTCTCAAGCATGGGGAAATAGAGCTCTAAAAATGGTCCCCATACCCAAGATGGGCACAGACATGGCTGTGAGGCTGGAACCCCAAGAGGCCTCTGGGTAGCAGTGAGGGAACCAGAGACCACAGCAGCTCTAAAAAGGTCAGCAGTAAATGCATCGAGAAGAGCGGGTGTAGCAGTCTGGTGTAGGGAGGGTAGATTTTGAAAGTGACCTCTACGATATTTATGATCTCACAAACTCTTCCAGAACCCTGCCATTCCACCATCAAGAAGTGGAAACCATTTCTCTCTCCTCTTGAAGTTGGCCAGGCCTTTGTGACCACCTTGACAAACGGAATGTGATGAAAGTAATGCCACATGATTTCTGAGGACTAGGTCATGAAAGGCAAACTGGCCTTCTCTCTCTCTCTCTCTCTCTCTCTCTCTCTCTCTCTCTCTCTCTCTCTCTCTCTCCACTCACCCTTAGAATCCAGCTGCCATGCTGTGAGGAAGCCCAGGCGACAGGCAGAAGCCATGAGTAGCTGTTCCAGCTGGCAGCCCCAAATGAGGTGACACCCAGCACCAAGTGTCCAAGGAGGCCTTGAGGTGATCCCAACCCCCAGCCTTTGAGCCACCCCAGCTGACACCGAGTGGAGCAGAGAGAGATGTCCCTGCCATGCCCTGCTCAAATCACAGATTTTATAGGAAAAATCAATGTGGTGCTTGTTTTAAGCTCTGGAGAGCTTTGGTATGCAGCCGGAGAGAGATAACCCGATGGCAGAAGTGAGTGAGCACCAGTGGCGGCGTGTGAGCCCCTCCCTCGTGCCAGGGCCAGGGGTCAGCCCTTGATTACCCCTGGGGAGAAGGGAAGGAGGAGGTAGGGATGAGTGAGAACTGCATTTACCCTGAAAGGGACTATCTTCACACCAGAAGTGCCTGAGCTGGTCTGAATTGTCACACCGACATTTTCCACCATCAGTGGAAATGCAACCTGGAGAGCCAAGGTAATTTTAGTTTCAGGAAATTAAAGAGCATTCGTCTTTGCACACCAGAGTTTGTGATCAAGCAAAAACTCCTACCCACTTTACAATTTGGGGCTGAGGTGCGTCTACCCACAGCTCTGAGTCTAGCCCCCAAGCAGGCACTAAATTTGTCCACACAAAGACTAAGGCTGCACTGGCCTTTCCAGCAGGAAATCATGGTTTAGTGGTATAAAGTCAGGAGCCCTGGAACTGTCACCCAGGGAAGTCCCTAAAACATTTTCCACATCTAAAGCTTTGTTTTTAAGTTGTGCTTGCTTATAGGAACCAAGGCAGAACAATGCGGGTGGCCAAACAGCAGAACCGGTCAAAACCAAGTTCAAGACGGCTATTGGGTGCCATGCACAAGAGGAAATGCGTGCAAAAGATGCTGTGAGCAAGAAGGGAAGATCTGCGCATGCCCCAAATGCCCCCGCCCCGAGTGATGACGCGGAGACCCCGCCCCCTTCACATCCCATAAGAACCCTGCTCACTTTCCCTTTGGGGAGAAAGTGTTTTAGAGCATGAGCTCTGCCTCCTCTATTCATTGATCAATGAATCAAGTTTCCGCTCTGCTATTCTGAACCCAATCTAGTTCTATTGGTAAGAGCAGCTCCGGGCAAAAGGACCCACTCACGGTCACTGGTCCCTTAGGGCTCGGTAACAGAACCAAGTGGGTCTCTCAGTTCATCCCTTTACCATTCCAGTCCACCCGAGGCTTCTGGCAATGGGAGGGAAGGGGAAGGATTAGTGCAGGTGGAGAGCCCCATCCCTGATCCATTCTCGGGGAGGGTGGGGGGCACCCACAGTCAAGCTGCAGCCCCACCTGTTTACATCCCTCTTCTTGGCCTCTGCTCAAACGGTCACATGCTGGCCTAGTCACTTTGTGGACAATCCAGGCAGAAGGTTGTGGATGGGCCAGATGTGCCTCCAGGCTTCCTTAGCCTTCCAATTCCGAGACAGATGTTTTATGACTCAAGAATTTTGGGGAGGGGCCGGCCCGGTGGCGCCAGTGGTTAAGTGCGCACGCTCCACTGCGGTGGCCCGGGGTTCGCCGGTTGGGATCCCAGGCGCGCACTGACGCACCGCTTGTCAGGCTATGCTGTGGCGGGGTCCCATATAAAGTGGAGGAAGATGGGCATGGATGTTAGCCCAGGGCCAGTCTTCCTTAGCAAAAAGAGGAGGATTGGCAGATGTTAGCACAGGGCTGATCTTCCTCAAAAAAAAAAAAAGAGTTTTGGGAAGGCAATCTTGCTTCAAGTATTCCTATTGTAATCTACACCACAAGTTTTTACAAAAGGGATGTTTTTCCTTTGAGATACGTTAAATAGCTCTCTGTCCCCAAACATGCCTTGGAACCCTTCGGCTCACTCTGCGTACAAGTTGAGCAGCGCCGTATTTTTTGCTCCTCAAACAAATTAGGTGCGTAGTCTCAGGAGTAACACATGGTTGCCATTAACGCTCATGACGTTTGGGGTTTGGTCTAAACCCACATTTTATTCACTGAACTATTTCTTTTTTCCAAAATAGTGAAAAGAACTACAAAACACAAGAGCAATTACGTGACTTAACTTTCCAGCTCTGTCAAGCTGTGATTAAAAGTGGACAAATAATAATAGCACTTATGTTTCTTTCTGGAAAAGCAAGAAAAAAAGGAAATTTTTTGCCATGGTTGTTTTTTTAATGCCATAAACTACCAGTGATGAGAAGTGGAGAGAATGATGGGGCTTCCTGAAAGCATGAGAAGCTACAAGGAAAGACCTTTTTCGTGAGGGACAAGGGCTTGGTGACCACTCAGGTCCTGGAGAAATGTGACATGTTCCCTGTCAGGACACTTGGAGTTATGGTTTAGCCTCTGATGGCTCACTCACCTCTGGTAGAATCCAAGAGAGACTGGCTATGATATGGTGATTTATAATAGGAAATATATATTTGGTCTTCATCCCCATTTCTGGCACAGAGCTCCTAAAACACCTGGAATTTGTTAAGTGATTCGAGTACTAACAAGTGCCTTTTGTTATGTTAATAAGGTGATTTTGGAAAGCCCCTAGGTCACCTAATAATGGGGGCTGGTCAACAGAGGAACCAACCATGTGATTAGCGGGTTGGAACTTTCAGTCCCGCCCCCTAACCTCCGGGAAGGGAGAGGGGAGAGGGGCTGGAGGTTGACTCAATCGCCAATGGCCAAGGATTTAATCAATCATGCCTATGTGATGAAGCCGCCATAAAAACCCAAAAGAATAGAGTTTCGAGAGCTTCCCCATGCCTTGCCCTGTGCATCTCTTCCATCTGGCTGTTCCTGAGTTATGTCCTTTTATAATACACCAGTGATCTAGTAAGTAAAATGTTTCTCTGAGTTCTGTGAGCTGCTCTAGCAAATTAATCGAACCCGAAGAGAGGGTCGTGGGAACCTCTGATTTATAGCCAGTCGGTCACAAGCACAGGTAACAACCTGGACTTAACGACTGGTGTCTGAAGTCCAAGGTAGGGGGAAGCCTTGTAGGACCCAGCCCTTCACCTGTGGGATCTGATGCTATCTCCAGGTAGATAGTGTCAGAATTAGGTTGAATTCTAGGATACCCAGCTGGTGTCCGGAGCATTGCTTGCTTGTTGGCGGTGTGGGGAGCCCCCCTGGCCCCCATGAATTTGAATTTGGATCTGGACACTTGTACTGGCCAATAGCCTATGTTAATGAGGGGCAAGAACTGGCTCCTGATTCACCAGCCAACCCTGTATGATCTCCCCTAGACTCCCTGAGGATTTTTCAAATAATCTTGGATAGGTCCTCCCACGGTCACTTAGCTCTCCTATCCACGCTTTTATCTGTCCTGATTTAGATCTGTAGGCCCGGTCACAGTTTAGGCCATCTGAGGTCTCCCATGTGCCCTGATCCTCGGGAAGGTGGTAAAGGAATATCCCGGGAGAAGTCAAGAGGCTTACATAATTCTGTATCACAGAGGACTGCGTTCGGCTGCCCATAATGGAAAGTCAACAACTGTGGTGGCTTGATGGAAAAGGAATTGATTTGTCTCAGGCAGTAAGAGGTCAGAGTAATACAGTCCCGGTCTGAAAGGGTGGCCCACGAAGGCCAAGCAGGAGCCAGGGCCTGTCTGTCTCCCCCTCCTCCAGCCTTGCCAATGGCAACTGCATCTCCAGCCCAGGCCCTCGCTCCAGCAAAAGGAGAGAGCAGCAGAACAGGCAATGCCAGCTGACTTCGGATTGCGTCCCACTGGCTAGAGCAGAGTCACATGGCCACTCCTACTGCACAGATGTCTGGGAAAGTGGGTTATTGGCTCTAAAGCCTTGCTCTGAAGGACTATCAGCGAGAGGGGAGTTGAAACGGGGGTTTAGGTACCGGACTGGCTGAGAGGCAAGGTGGAAGTCAATCAGTAGGATCCCGCGGCTCCTGGAGGAGAATGACCAGCTGATCTGCTGTATCATGGAGTATCAGAACAAAGACCCGGTGAATGAGTGCGTCCAGTACCAGCAAGTATTACACAGAAATCTCATTTATCTGGCCACCATCACAGATGCCAACCCAACCAGTGCTTCAAAAGCAATGGAATAATCTTCCAGTTGGCTGTTGTGAGGAGTAATTGAATGTAATCCATTTCCTATGAAATGGAGATAGGATCTTTACCAACTCAACTGCTTAAAACATGAATGAAACCTCTGTGGCTCTTTTAAAAATGTGAAAATGTGAATAAAGCTACTAAATTAACTGTATTCTCAATGTAAATATTTATTTTAATAGTTAAGCAGATTCCCTCAATTAAAAAAAAAAGAAATGAGGATTTAGGGAGCCAACCTACCATACCTGCCTTGATCTCTTTTGGACTGATGGTATGGTTTTTTCTTTTTTTTGAGATATAATTGACATATAACATTATGTTCGTTCCAAGTGTACAACATGATTCAAAATTTGTATATATTGCTGAATGATCACTACAATAGGTCTCTTAGCAACTTTCAAATATGCACTACAGTATTATTAACTATAGTCACCATGCCGTGCATTACATCCCCATGACTTATTTATTTTATAACTGGAAGTTTGTACCTTTTGACCCCTTTTGCCCATTTTGCCCACCCACCACCTCCCTCAGGCGTCCACCAATCTCCTCTGTATCTATGAGCTCAATTTTTTTGTTGTTTGGTTTGATTTGGGTTTTTTAGATTCCACATATAAATGAGATCATACAGTATTTGTCTTTCTCGTCTGACTTATTTCACTTACCATGATGTCCTCAAGGTCTATCCATGTTGTCACAAATGGCAGGATTTTTCTCTTTTTTATGGCTGAATAATATTCCAGTATTCATTTTCTTTAATGATGGTGTGGTTTCTTTGCTTACATTTTGCTTCACCAACAGGCTGGGGTGTTTCTTAAGTCTTATTTCACTACTGATATAGTTGTTTGTTTTTTTTTTAAGTTGGGTTCATTTTGTTGTTCAAGGGGGCAGGAGTGAGAGGGAAGTTTCCTATCAAATATAGGGGGGCCGAGAAACACGGAATGAGAATCTCCACACCTCTGCCAATCTCAATTCTCATAGTAAGAATATTCAGCATCCAAAGAATTGCTGGGATAATTAAACTGTTTAATTCCTAGAGCAGTAAAAACTACTTTCTGTTACATGACGTAGAAACCCCTGTGGAAACTGGCTGAAATACTGATTGGGGATGTATTTGTTCACACGACCTTAAATCCAGAGGTAGAACTGGCTTCAGGCAAGCCTCGATCCAGCAACACTATAATATCTCCAGTGCCTAGTACCTCCCTATTTCACTGTTCTGTCTTCTGAGGCACAGGCTTCCTCCTCAGGTTTGCTCCCTGAGGCAGACGCTATTGATGCCCCCCCCATTCCTTATCCCCTCGGCCTGCCTGAACAGCTGCAGGAGATAGTTCACTGTGCTCTGACAACCTCCTTCTCCAGCGTGTGCATGTCTCTAATGCTCTGCCTGGCTGCTTTCTCCAGCACCAGGGGAGCTGGTGCTACTGAATGCTGGGAACTCATGCTGGGGGACATCTCCTCTCCCTGCAGCTCCATACTTGGCTTGTGCTCTATTTCTGTTGGACAGTGCTGCTACAGATTCTACAGCAAACTACAGCCTCCGCATTAAACCCAGCCAGCCACCTGTTTTGTAAATAAAGTTTTATTGGAACCCAGCCACACCTGTTCATTTTTATACTGTCTGTGGCTGCTTTTGCTGCAATGGCAGTGTTGAGTAGTTGCAACAGAAATCATATGGCCTGCAAAGTGTAAAATATTTCTTCTCTGGCCCAGTACAGAAAAAGTTTGAGGATCCCCGACAGAGAATATTGACCTTAGGAATATTTCCAGGCTGCAAAAATATTACTGGCTTTCACAAAAGAGGAGAAGTTTGGTTATTTTTGGAATGTATAAGAATATATATTTAGGGCCGGCCCCGTGGCTTAGCGGTTAAGTGCACGCGCTCCGCTACTGGCGGCCCGGGTTCGGATCCCAGGTGCACACTGACTCACCGCTTCTCTGGCCATGCTGAGGCTGCGTCCACATACAGCAACCAGAAGGATGTGCAACTATGACATACAACTATCTACTGGGGCTTTGGGGAAAAAAAAGGAGGAGGATTGGCAATAGATGTTAGCTCAGAGCCGGTCTTCCTCAGCAAAAAGAGGAGGATTAGCATGGATGTTAGCTCAGGGCTGATCTTCCTCACACACACACACACACACAAAAAGAATATATATTTAACACGTGTGTGTGCATCATATGTGACTGGTGTGTATGCATGTGTATTTTGGGGTGGAAAAGGGAAGATGGCAGCCATGTGAAAATTAATGCATACAGCAACGTGGACACCTCAGCAGGACATTGAAGTCCCTGCTTCCAAGTAATGACTGACCCTACGTGAATTCTGACTAAAATGAAAAGTGTTTCTAATGAGCTCTGCACAACTTGCCAGAGAAGTATAAAAAATATTCTTATTAGGCTCAGGGTGGCAAAACAACTTGCCAAAAGTCAGACAGCTTGTTTTTTTTCTTTTTTTTGCTGAGGAGGATTCGCCCTAAGCTAACATCTGTGCCAGTCTTCCTCAATTTTGTATGTGGGTCGCCACCACAGCATGGCCGCCTATGAGTGGTGTAGGTCTGCACCCGGGAACCAAACCCAGGTTGCTGAAGCAGAACATGCCAAACTAAACCACTAGGCCATGGGGCTGGCCCCCTCCAGTCTTTTTATAAAAGAAACTATCTTAAATCTCCAAAAAAAAAAAAAAATTTACCAAATGAAATAAAGGTAACAGAATAAAGCTATTATTTTAGTCTGCCCAGAACACATTCTTGTACCCCTTCTTCTGATACCACCCCCACTGCCTTTGGTGAATAACTCCAGCTGCAGGCCTCTGGTGTGGCTGGCAGTAATGACATTCCCACCTACCGCCCAGGAATTAACACATAAGCTAGGCTACAGCCACTCTACTTCCTCCCAGACAGAGCAGTTGGCTCAAGGGGGGGTGGCATGTGACCCACCTGGTCAATTGGAGACCTTTCCCAGAATTTTCTAAAGAGGAAGTGAAGGGGTAGCTGTAAGGATGTAATCCTGGGCTTTTCGTTCCACTTACTAGTGCTACATAACAAATTATGTTGAAGTGCGTCAGATTCTATGGGTCAGGAATTCTGACAGGGCACAGTGGGGAGGGCTTGTCTCTACTCCCCAGTAGCTGAGGCCTCAACAGGAAGGACTCAAAAGCCAGGAGTGACTCAGACCAGAATCATCTGGAGGCGTCTTCACTCACATGCAGTGGCTGATGCTGGCTATTAGCTGGGACCTCAGCTGGGCCTCTTGGCTAGAACACTTTTCTGTGGCCTCTCCGTGTAGTTTGGGCTTCCCGACAGCATGGCAGCCTCAGACTTCTGCCATGGCAGCTCAGTACTCCAAAGGCACTGTTCCAGAGAACAAGGCAGAAGCTGTATTGTCCTTTATGACCTAGCCTTGGAAGTCATATAATATCACTTCTGCTGTAGTCACAGCCTCACCCAGATTTGAGGGTAGAAAACATAGACCCCACTTCTCAAGGGGAGGAATGTCAAAGTCACATTGTAAGATGAGCGTCTGGAATGGGAGATACTGTTGCCACTGTTTTTTGAAAAGGCATTCATGCATCGCTTAACAACAGGGATACGTTCTGAGATGGTACATGGTATAGCCTATTGCTCTTTGGCTACAAACCCGTAAAGCATGTTACTGTATTGAATACTATAGGCAACTGTAACACAATGGTAAGTCTTTGTGCATCTAAATGTATCTAAACATAGAAAAGGTACAGTAAAAATACAGTATAAAAGATAAAAAATGGTACACCTGTATAGGGCACTCAACACAAATGGAGCTTGCAGAATGGAAGTTGCTCTGGGTGAGTCAGTGAGTCAGTGGTGAGTGAATGGGAACGCCTAGGACACATAAATAAATATTTATTTATTTATTTATTTATTTATTTATTTATTTATTTATTTATTTTTGTGTGTGAGGAAGATCAGCCCTGAGCTAACATCTATTGCCAATCCTCCCCCTTTTTTTTCCCTTTTTCTCCCCAAAGCCCCAGTAGACAGCCATATGTCACAGCTGCACATCCTTCCAGTTGCTGTATGTGGGACGCGGCCTCAGCATGGCCGGGGAAGCGGTGCGTTGGTGCGCGCCCAGGATCCGAACCTGGGCTGCCAGCAACGGAGCGCACACACTCAACCGCTAAGCCACGGGGCCGACCCCTAGGACACTACTGTACACTATTGTAGACTTTATACACACTTACACTTAGGCTACACTAACTTTATTAAAAAAATTTTTTCTTTCTTCAGTAATAAATTAACCTTAGCTTGCTGTAACTTTCTTACTTTATAAACTTTTTTAACTCTTTGACTCTTTTGTAATAACATTTAACTTAAAACACAAATACATTGTACAGCTGTACAAAAATCTTTTCTTTCTTTATATCCTTATTCTATAAGCTTTTTTCTATTTTAAAAATTTTTTAAACTTTTTTGTTAAAAACGAAGACACAAACACACACATTAGCCTAGGCCTGCACGGTGTCGAGATCATCAATAGAGGTCTTCCACCTCCACATCTTGTCCCACTGGAAGGTCTTCAGGGGCAATAACACGCATGGAGCTGTCATCTCCTATGATAACAATGCCTTCTTCTGGAATACCTCCTGAAGGACCTACCGGAGGCTCTTCTTGAGGAGGTGTCACTCTTTTCAGAAATATGTCCATGGTGGTTTGCTTGGTTTGCTTGAACATTTGCAATGTTCATGATACAGTCATAGATGTTGTAATCCTTCCAGAATTGCCTCAGTGTCTTCTCAGTGTCTTCCTCAGTTGTAGCAATAGCCTGGGCAAAGGTTCTCCTCAGATAGTAGGCCTTAGAAGCTACTAAAACTCCTTGATCCATTGGTTGGATCAAAGAGGTGGTGTTTGGAGGGAAACTTGGAAACATTGCTTTGATATTGGAATGAAGATCACGAATAAAAGGAGGAGGTCCTGTAGCATTATCAATAATAAGCAAAATCTTGAAAAGTATGTTATTCTCCAAACTGTGCTTCTCCATTTCTCTGGCATAGCAATTCAGGAGGGCATCTTGGAAGAGGAGCTGGGTCATCCATGACTTCTTACTGCTCCTGTAGTACACTGGCAGTGTGTGCTTGTTGATATGCTTAAAGGCCCTGGGGTTCTCACTGTGCCAGATCACAAAGGGTTTCCATTTGTAGCCTGCAACATTGCCTCCAAGCAAGACTGTTATCCTG